AGGAAATGTTTCTGAGCGCAGATGTTACTGTGAGGAAAAGGCTCAGACTCTTTCAGAATTAACAAGGGCTTCAGCACTTAGAGTTGTTTATAATGCAGAGCCAGGTGGGAGCTCTTTATCAGACCATACAGACAGATATAAAGACTTCTAAGAGTACATGAAAGACAGAGACTGACAGAGCTTTTATTACTTTCATGTCTCAGACCTGCCCATTAATGCACTAATGCATTTCTTTTGCATAACATTCTGAAAAAAAGTTTTTAGTTTTAGGATTCTCAGTAAATGTTTTATGCTAATTGTGGCTATATACTGTGGTTATTTTACTTTTTCTAATTACTTTAAATTAATATAAATTAATTGTTATTTCATTTAGGGCAGTCAGTTATCCCCTACATACTTACCTTGGTCAGGACATCCTTGAATAAGAGACATTTGATCTTAATGTGGCCTTTACTGGTTCAACAAAAACTGAATAGAGGTTAAGACAACAGTTTAGAGTGGTGCTTAGAGCTCACTCAGACATATGATCTTTTTTCTTGGTGTTGGTGTTTCTTCTCTTTTTGTCTGTTTAACCATGCTTCTCAAAATGTTAAAAAAAAATCCATTTTGTATTGTTTTTTATTTTTTTTAGGTACTAAAAACAAATTCAGTAACTAACTGATGTGTGAAAAGCCAGAAGTAGGCATTATAGTCGTTTGCTTATTCGAAGATAATATTTTAATTTTTTTTGAATGGTAAGCCTTGTATTGTTTCCATTTTTCATGTGGAAGAATTGTGGGAGGAACTGTTGTTTCCAAATAATTCCCAATCTGAAAGTTTATTACAGTCCTAAAATTTTCTGATTGATGCATGACATTTTACTTGCTATACTGTTTCAAAATTGATTCCAAATGTATTCAGCACCCTTTCAACAGTGGCATGCGAATTAAGGTTTTCATGTACACACTCTTTGTCCACTTAATTATTCTCCTTCCAAGTGTTGGAAGTCTCCCACCGCCTGTCACCTAACAGTGTTTAAAGAACAGAAGACTTTTAGCTCTGACACATGATGTCACAACAGGTGCTGCACCATCAGCCCTAAATGTGTTGTGGCCGGTCACGTTTAGACAGACATGACTCACCTCCACAATGAGTTCCAGCCGGAGCGCCTGACAGAGAGACGGCAGGAGGGAGGGATGGTTCATGTGATGTGATGCGTGAGGCAGGGAGGTGAGCTCAGGTTGTGCACACTGAGAAGAGGAGGAGCCTTGTTAAGCTGCAGGGAAGGCGAGGCCACTCAGTGGGACCTGAGATAACTGACCCAACCAGGGGGCTGGAATTGGCTTTAGAAGCTAAACATGCACACATACAGCCGGGTCAAAAAGTCGGAGACCATAATCCCATTAATGTGCACTGTACAAACATATAATAACTTGGGCTTTTTTTATATACATAACCCATAAAGTTTATTAACATTTTAGGAGCATTTACAGCGCGTATCATAGTAAGAACACATTCAAACCATGAGTGTTAATTGAAATTAAGAGTAAAAAAAAAACAATATCCACAGTTTGAGAAACCACTCCACACTTTTTCATCTCCAAATGATTGTCACTGTAAAATCAATTCCTGAAACTGTAAAATATTGGTTGCAATAATGAGTTTGAACAGTATATGTAAACATAACGCAATCCTGAGAAAAAATTTGCAATCTTCATAATAAAACATGTGATCTTTGCTCATATTGGCAGTTGATGGCATCATAAGGATGACTGGCTGCATGTCATGCACACGTTCTTCTTCTGCAGTTACACGTGTGACAACAATGGCTCGACTTTGTGGGCGGTGGAAGGGGGGGGGACTTTCACAGGCAGAACTAGGACCCTGCAGCCAAGCCCTCGTTAAACAGCATTAAATCCAACCAATCCTATTAGTCTGTTGCCCTTAAGAGTGGGAGGAGGAGAGGAGAGGTGGGGAGACGTGTTCCTGTGGTCTGCGCTAACTCCACTGAGGGAAACATGAGAAAATAAGATATTCACATCAACCCGGTGTACTGCACCTTCAATGGCTGCTGCGAGCCTCAGTCACTTTGTGCTGTCAACCACTGAAAGACAGAAAGAAAAGGAGAAAAAGCAGAAGAAAAAGAAGGAAAATTATGATTTGAGAGAAAGAAACATATGAAAGCTTTTTTTTTATTGCCATCCAAAAATATATAAATTTGGGAAATGTAAAATCTATCGATAATGTCTGATCTTTGGGCTCATGTGATGCTTCGTATCTCAGTTTGGTATCATGTCTTCTAAATCTGTCATCAGTATGTCAACAGTATCAGACTATCAGATTAAGGCTCTCAACTCTGAACGCCCCAGTAAAGGCTCTCAACATACTCACTTTGTAAAACAAAACCATTCGAGTGTTGTTGGACAATTCAAATATGAATTACTCCTTGGACCTTCTGAAACCAGGTTGTTTTTCTTGTCTTAAATATTAGACACAAGGTTTTCAGTGAATATTGTGGTGTCCCATGATGATCTAGATTATGTCTGTTACGGATTTTGGCACGGCAGTTTAAAATATGAAAGATTTGTATCAGGCACAGATACAAAATGGCAGTACCTGTGTTCAAAGATAAATCCTCGTAGTGTATGTCACACAGAGAAAGATATTCTTGACTATCACATATGTACAGACCTCCATCCCAAAAAATGTATCTGATGTAAAAACAACAGACTGAATTATTATTATTATTATTATTATGTCTGTATTTAAACTTGAAAATCATTGAAGGCAAAGCCTGCATTTACAATGAACTAGAGAAGATACAGAATAAAAACACAAGGTAAAAGAAGAACATCAATCAAAACAAACATATAAATACAATTAATAAATAATGTAACAAGAAAATTAATTAAAACAGGTACAAACAGAAGTTAAAAGGTTGGAGATTAAGGATTTAAAATGACCAAGAGGTACCAACAAATTAATTTTTTAAAGCGCTTTGTAGTGAGTTCCAGGAGGATTATGTTGAACAAAAGTCACTGGCTCTTAATTAATTAACACTTTGACACATCAACAAGTCTTCATTTTTAAACGATAAAAAGTTTTATTTGTCAGTGTTTCATAATTACCTATCACCTCTATAATGAAGGTCTGGTTCAGTCTGTTTGAACAGACGACAAACACTGACTTTTTTCAGTGTCACAGAAGGTCCAATGTCTGAGACTTAATGGGTGCTGTGGGTGTTTGAACTGGTGATACACTATGGAGATAAGGAGCTTAATGGGGAACAGTGTCCTGTGTGTTCTGAAAAATCTTCTTCTTGGCTTCAGACCTTGCTCTCTGGCTGACCCATCAAACATGTAGAAAACTCACCTGATGCTGTTTCACAGAAGGATTTTTTTAACTGTTTCATTAGTATTATGAAAATTCCTTTTGTCTAAGAGGAAATGTTTAAATAGATTGCTCGCATTAAGTAAATACAAATGTCGTTTACCATAGCAACAGTGTTCCTCTGTTTCCTCAACTGTAATATTCTAAAATCGAAACATATTTCCTGTCACAAATATGATATGAAACAGTCGCATCTGCACAAAAAACATGATTTCCTTGGATAGTGAACAGAATATGGACTTTCTGTGTCCATTGTTTCCACTATGTTTATGTGTTTATACCTGTATACAGTCAGGAAATAATAACAAGTTAGGCAGAATGATGTGATTATACATGTATATATATGTAGTGATATACTGTATATATACTGTATATATATATATATATATATAATAAACAACACAGCTCTGTACGACCAGAGACATCAAAATGTTTGTCAGGATCACTCTGCTCTGATTCTGACTTCCCTCACTGTGCTGCCTTTAAATAGCCAATCAACATGCTGGCTGATGGTGGAGGAGCTCTGACACTGATTCATGAGGCTCTGGTGTGAGTGACTGAGTGCCACATGCCCACCCACATTTCAAATGAAAACCAGCTTTCATTATGTGAATTGCTGGGCTGTGGTTTTGGGGGCGGATTAATTGGCTGTAATCTGATTACACTGACGCCTTGATGACCCTCCTGCTGGCCTCCCCCACTGGGCCTCCCCCTCAGTGCTGTCTACCTGGCTGCTGGCGTCACTGAATTTATACTACAGTCTGCTGGCTCAGTGCAGACAGGAAGTGCTGACAGTCTGAAAGGGTGATTTGATAATTGGAGATGAACTGTTTACGATGAAGATCACCTCTGACTTATGTATTCTTTCCCTGTTACCTATCTATACTCATTTACAACACACAGTATACAACAAGTGACCCAGATTCCCTTTTTTTAAGTCTTATTCTGTCAAGTTTCACACCTTTAATGCAAAGCAGTCACATCTTGACAAGGTTTTATCAAGTGTGATCTTTTGTTTTGTTGTTCTAATATGTTGTGATTAAAATTGTTGCTGCTTAAAACTGGAAATTTATGTCATTTCTTTCCATTAAGTCTCAGCTTTTCTTATTACATGTTTTTCCTTTCCCCCGTTCTATAGGTAAGAGCCCTCTGGGATCTGATGGGTTGTTAGAAGCCAAAGTTAAAGGGATTATTCCTGGCTGCCAAACACAGGAGGTCCTTGAAGCTAAGAGAGATCACCTGGCTGGAGGTGGCCCAAAACCTTTCCCCCGTCGCAGCAGACAAACCTATCAGGATACATCAGCCGAGCTCTCACAGCTTGTTAACTTGCCATGAAGCCAAGAAACCTTGCGTGATCCCACAGGGTCGTCTTTAAGGCGAACAGCTCAAGAGTTTGGCAGCACCCTTTGTGCGCTTTGGAACTACTGCCTTGGAGTTTGTGCTTCTTGTCCTCTAAAACGAATTTATGCTGCCCAGGAGAAGATTTTATCTGCATCTTTATTGTTGACATGCTTTGCCCCAACACCTTCCAATCCAATACCAATGACTTCCATTCATGGTGTTCGTCACAGCAAAACTAAAGCCTGGGAGGACTGTCATTTGTCAAGGAATAACTTGGACTCCAATCAAACATGGCCAGAGACGTCAGTCCTCTGAGTCTCCAGCCTTTGTCTGTGAGGAACCGACAATGGGTTGGAGCCTCTTTGGGTTTTGTTCTGCCTTTCTTCCCCCTACGTTCTCTAATTTTCTGCTACTTCCTGTCTTGCGCAGCTGCAGCAGGCAGTTTGCCTGGTATAGAATATAGCTATGGCATTAGTCCCAAATTTGTTTGCACCCCAATTCCCCCAGATGCAGATCCCAGCTGCTATTCCCCACCCAGTGTGCCCCATGGACCCAGCAGTAATGGCCATAGTAACGGTCACAATGGCAGCAACCGGCGAGGCATGATGTCTGACGAGGCCAAAGCCACCATCTTACATCTGCGAGAAAGCCTTGTGAGGCAGAAGGAGACCATCCTGGACCAGCGGGAGACCATCAGGGAGCTGACTGCCAAGCTCACCTTGTGCGAAGGCTTCGGTGGGCACCATGGTATTGGTAATCATGATAACCACCATGATACCCATCACGACAACCATCATGATACCCATCATGAAAATCATCATGACAACAACCACGATGACCACCACGGGCATCACGGCAGCCACCACGCATCATCATCACCACACCATGGCCCTTCAGCGTATCACAGCAATGATCACCACTACTCCCACGGTAACCACAGACCAGACACCCACCACAGGAAGGGATCATCATACAGCAAACACAACTCCTTCTCTCCCGAGCAAACGGGCAAAACCCTGCAGACACTGAAGGAGAGGCTGGAGAACCTGCAGGTGAGTGTAGAAATCTGCAATGCATCACGGTTGGGGAAGTACAACAGTGTAGTTTTAAATACAGACCAACTGTGCCAGTGGATACAAGAAAAAGTGCAAAGTGGAGACCTTAGTACACTGTCATATGTAACATCAGATTCAAAAGGTGCAAAGGTACTTAGGTCTCGTATCATACAAGTCCTACAATTTAATGTCCTACAATTTAATACAAAGGTATTTTACAATAAACATTTGGGTTTTGTCTTGATATATAGCTCTGCATACTCTAAAAGAAGTGCTCCTTGGACAGTAAGAAAGCAGTGAAACACAAATTTTCAGATATTCAGACAGCCGGTGCTGCATCATCCATCATCATTTTGTAACTTTCTGAAACTGACAAACCTAAGGTCATGCCTGGCAGTCTTCACACTTTGAATGTAACTTTCAGTATGGACTTTTTGACAGATTTTGGGACACAAGGTGGTCATTTTTGAGTGATGGGTAAACCGGATACAGTGAAAGACAATGCATTTGTGTTTCGAGTACCAGGGATGAAGACAGGAGTTAATTCAACCTTTATTTGCCAGATACAAGGTACCAGTTAAGTCAGAATCAATTCTAATCTGACTTAAAAGTTTAAATACCTAGCAAACACAAGAGTATCTTTGGCAATGTTAGTTTGCACGCATTGAATGTTAAAATTTGAGACCTACAGGCCACATTGGAGCTTGGATATGTTACTGGGCATTTTGTATAGCAGGTGTCTGACAAATGAAGAAGGAGGATATGTAAATGACAACATCTCTAGTGTGTCATCAGCAGTACTGAAACACAAAATAAGGAATCACAGAGAGTTAAAGCAGGTAGAAAGTTTAAAAGTTGACAATCTAAGGTTTGAAGTAACCTTAAGTCATTTCAACAAATCAAAAATTGCAAACAGTTCATTCATTTTTGTTAATATTTATTCAATTATGATTCTGCTTTTTCTCAAGTTTAATGATCCAAACTGTCTCCCATAGAGGCTTTTCAATTTTTTTAATTAAATCTGCATTTCCTTTATAGTATGTAAATTCTGCGGTATATATGCTCTTTCTCCACCACACAAATATTTTAAAATGCTTAGTAATGTGCCTGTACAGAAAGGCTGAACAGTCTCTAGGGAGGCAGAAGCCTATCAAAGGTTTGACTTAATTGGGGTCATATCTTGCGTCATTGGGGGTCACGAGCTCTGGAGGTGTTCCGGCTCTCGATCTCTCTCCTGGATATCAGTGGCCAAGGCTGAGCTCAAACAGGAAGCTGCTTTAAGTTGATTAGCCCCTACCCCTGACATTAAACAACCCCTGTGTCCAAACATCACCCAGTGCAGTGAGACAAGTGCAGCTTAGAGGACGGGGGTGTGAAGGAGGAGGTGGGAAAAGGTGGAAGGTTCCAACCAGCCAGTCAAATCAAAATGCTGTTCTATGAACATTGATTTAATGTTTACTCAACCTGATTAATCCCACTGAGATTAAGGATCTCTCTCCCTCAGGGAGACCAGGTCAAGACAGAAGCATCATACAGTATAGGCCTATGAGTATAGACAGAACAACAATGACACAAAGAGGCTATTTTTCTGTTAGCAGTTAAAGGGAATTAATCTTTCCTATCAGTTCTGACATGTGTGTTTACTGTTCACTTTATATGTATATTTTTGTGTTAGGTCTATTGCTATAGCCATAGCCTGTGTTAGTCTTTAATGTCAACAAAAAGCTTCAAGCCTATTTTGATTTGATTTGATTAGGCATAGATTTGGTGATTTATTTGACTGGTTAAAACTTGGCCAAATTTATTTGAAATGCTGAAGTTTTTTCTTCTATGAAATCTATTTAACCCTAACCCTATGTTGTTGAAACTACAGTTATATATATATAATAGACCAATGGTTCCCAGTTTCTCCATAAAATTGTTTTACAACATGTATGTTTGCTTTTCTCTTGTAAAATACTAGAAAGTTTCGCCTCTTCAGGTTTATAAACATTACTGAAAAATCCCTCCTTGCCTGCTTAAAGAGTCACAAGCCAAAAAGGTCAGGAACCTCTGATCCAGACATCTAAAACTCTTGAACTTTTAGCTTTACTTAAATTTAGTTTGAACCACAAAACACCAAATCTGTGCTCACTGGGACCTCTTGCAGGTGTTGTTGTTTCTCTCCCAGAATTTTGATCTTTTGCAGACACTGTAATCAGTATGTGATTGTACGTGAGGCATTTTCTAAACACCTAAAAGCCACTAAATGGTTTCTCCACCACACAAATATTTTAAAATGCTTAGTAATGTGCCTGTTGGGTCTACTGTCTCATTTGTGTTTCAACATTTCCACAATGCTGGTGTCACATTGCGAGACTAAAACCCTGCTGTCCGCTGGACTGTGAATTCCTCATTATCAATGCAGGTGGTCTCAGAATACACTCTGGCAAAGTGTTGCCAGAAATCCCCTTTGAAGGTGTGAGACAAAACAGAATTGAAGCCAGGATTTACCCTGCATCACTCCCTCCTCAAACAGGATGTCTATGCCACCAGCCTCTGGCCACGCGCCGAAGGGTGCTAGCCAGCCTCACCTTCAATTAGCCTCATCCTCCCTGACGCGGCTATTAATCATGGCATGTGCTGGCAGGGAACAAAGCCGGATTTGCCGATGAGGAAGACAAGGATGAGCAAGGGAGAGGATGGAGGAGGGCTTGGGCTTTACAATTCTTCTTTATTCACTTCACTAAATTTGCTGCAAAAAAATTCTGACTCTAAACTTTTTCTCATTTTCTTCCAGTCAAATTCTTGACCTTGGAATTACTAGTTTGACCAAACAATCCCAGCTCAAGGTCCAAAATACTTGCTTTTATCCAGAGGTTTCAACAGTATCACATGGTCTTCATCAGCAGAAGGAATTTGTTCAGTTGTCATGGAGATAGCTGTGTTGATATGTTAGCTCAGTATAGTTTCTTTTGTTTGTTTGTTTGTTTGTTTGTTTTTTTTGTAAAATTCACAATTATATGTGTACAATGTCTTTCTGCTCATTGCTTTTCTTTAAAAGATTCTTTTTTTTCTTTTCTTTCTTTTTCTTTTCTAAAAAGCTGCTACACTTTTTTTTTTTTAAATTAACTTATTTTACTAATATATTAATGTCATTTTTAATTGTCACCATTGTCAATTTGAAGTCCTACTATTGGATGTGTCATAGATAAGGACTGGACTGGGTATGCTTACAATGATGATGGATATGATGCTGAAAGTATTCCCGTGGTGGGATTGGTCTACTACATGAAATAAACACTATGATCGATTGTTTAGGGTAGAGTAAGGTAACAGGACCTGGTGTTTAAAAAAAGATATGCAGGTCAGCATAAATACATTGGCTAAAGGCTTTTTTTAAGTACATGAACCATGTATGTCACTGACATAAAGATATGTCCTAACTCAAACATGTAAGAAAGAGTTTCAAACAAAGAATATGTATAACCCTCTAGAACTATATGATTTATTTTATTATGTTAAAATTTACTCAATCCCACAGAAGAGTTTCTGAAGCTTCAGCTCTATTTAGGCTGTCATTTTTATATTTATTATTATTATTGACGCATGTTTTGCATGTCAACAGGCGAGGAACTCTTCCAGCTCCTACTCCAGCTCCCTAAGAGAACTCCTCCAGCGGAAAATCAACGCCCTAGAGGAGCAGCTGCACAGCTACTACCGAGATCACCATGACTATGGCCACCATAACGACCATCACGGTGATCACCACGACGATCACCATGACGACCACCGCAGTAGCAGCAACTACGATGACCATCATGATGATCATCATGATGATAACCATGGCAACAGCCATCATGACACCCGCCATGATGACCACCATGGTACTGGTCACCATGATAACCACCATGACAGCCATCGCAACAACCACCACAGTAGCCACCGGTACAACCATCACAGTGGTCACCACAGTCGCCATCAAAGTCACCACTATGACCACCATTATGACCGGCACCACAGCCGGCATCACGGTCACTATGACGACCATCACAGCGACCACCACGATGACCATCACAACGACCACCACGATGACCATCACAACGACCACCACGACACTGATCACCACGACATTCACCACGAACTTGGCCACCACGATGACCACCACAATGATCACCATGATGACAAGCACCACAGCACCGACCACCATGAAAGCCACCACGGCAGTGATCATCACCCACGGCGACTGCCTTTCAACAGCAAAGAGCCGAGTGCCCGGGGCACCGGGCACAACAAACTGGAAACAGTGCTTGGCCAACTGCACCATGGCAACAATGACCACGGTACAAACATAGCTACTCTATGATTGTTTTACATTTGAGACTGTGCAGTGATGTAGTATAAAAGCAACAAGGTACATATTATGAGGTTGGGGTGGGTCGACAGAACACAAGACTTTCACACAGGAAACTGCGGTTCATTTCCCGTGTGAAACCAATAGTCTTCTTGACTGTTCCAAAACCTTGATGACAAAGGTCCTAACTTTGACGAAGTACTTATTTCAACAAACCACGATCTTTTCCTGAACCTGACCAAGTATTTTTTTGTATGTAAACTAATCAAACTGACTGTTCCAGCATTACTTGCATGTTACTATTAGGACGAATGTACAGTAGGTCTTTGACCATTCAACCTCAACCAGCTGCTGGTGATAGAACAGTGTGTACTGAGCTGAATCTAAACTCTGCTGTCTCCGTCTCACCAGGAGACCACAAGAAGCTAAAAAGTCCTAGTGCTTTCCTGCTCGACTTCCCCATGAGGACCAACTACATGTATGGCAGGATGAAGCGGCCGGTGGTCAAAGAGATCTTTGCCCTGACCATCTGCCTGTGGCTGAAGGCAGGGGCAGGTCCAGGCCTCGGCACTCCCTTCTCCTACGCAGTACCAGGGCAAGCCAATGAGCTGGTGCTCGTCGAATGGGGTAGTAACCCCATGGAGCTGCTAATCAACGACAAGGTAAAAGCAATGCAATGTAGTCATGTACAGCCAACACATATGACCCAAACCAATCTGTCACTATGTGATGCCACAGCACTCGGACTTCAGGTCAGGCACAGGAAACATTGGTCAGTACTCTTTATTAAAGGATTATAGACTCTCTATGAAGTTCTTAATTCAGTCATAATTGCTGCTTCTCTGAGCTTTAGCATACATCAGGTAATAATGCAGTTCACACACATCCACAGAAGTGTTACTAATCTTGCACAGTGAGGTGTGATAGTCACAGCTCAGACTGCCAGGACAGCATCATCTCGCCAGTGGAGGTCAGAGCTATAAAGTGAGGTCGGTGACCTCAGAATCAGGAGCACAGTACTTACACAGAGTCATGTTATGCTCTCAGTCACTGGTCAGTCAGTTGAGTGTGACAGGCAGTGACATGCACACACTAAAGGGTGGGGGTGGAGATGAGTATTCAAGGTACTGTGGCTGGGATGTGCCAAACTGGTGATAAAAGTGCTGCTTATGTGGCGTGTCGACACCTATTGATGGTATCATAAAGAGTGGCATAAGTTTAAATATTGACATATAATGCATAGAGCAGACAATAGGCATGGACACAGCTGCACATTTGCCAACCAAGGGTACTTTCAGATGGATTTACACCTCAAAAATATTGCACATTTTGTATATTCTCCGACAAGTTTCTCATGCAGGGGGACACTGATCATCACAGCTACAATCTTTGCCTTCTGCTAACCGTAAACTGCTGTTCTGGATGGTACTAGTCTGATATAACTCCATTTAATAGACCACTGTTGCTGTATATATTTCATTATAAGTAAATGAGGAATGGAAACACAGTTATTGTGGGGAATAAAAAATTAAAGCACAACATGGCCTGATCACTTATCATCTAGTATTGTGGTGGTTCTATTCATGAGTGAAAACTGATGATGTACTATTAATCCACTAACTTCTTATGTCAGCAACACAGTCTGGTCCCTGACAAGGAGCACTTGGGGTCAACCTCAGTCTCTCAGTCATTGCAGGGGGTCATGGGAATTCTAAGAGCTACGAAGGAGTTCATGGCACAGATTCTTTCCCAGAAGTGCTGAAAAAATTTTAGAATTAAATTCATCTTTTGGTGTAAATCTGAGTTTGAATGACACTTAACAGTTTATCGAGACATTAACCTGTACAGACATTGCTGACATGAAAATGATTAAATTGTCCTATTAGCCTCCTAATCTTTCATTCCCTGAAAGGCTGATACCTTTTTCCCATAAACGGAAGACAGATGCTCGTCTCTTTCCCTTCCTCGCTCCCGTATCCTGCACAGCATGCACAAATCAACAAAGCAATTAATCTGATTATTGTAATTGATTGGCCTAATTGTCTGTAGGAGTGACATTAGCTGGGGAGATAAACTGTCATGTTTGTTTTCTCCTAGTCACACACTTGGCAGTCATCAAACTGATCAATGACACAGTTAAACGATCTTCAGGATGAAGATTAATTTCAGTCTTTTTTAATTTTCTGGAGTTGAGGAGATTCTCATATTGTCCCATACAGCAGTGAGCGCTGTCGTGTAGAGCTGTCTACAGCTGTGATGATGTTGGGTAAAGAGGCCTGTTGCCTTTTCTTTCCTGATGAAAGAAAGAAAGAAAGAAAGAAAGAAAGAAAGAAAGAAAGAAAGAAAGAAAGAAAGAAAGAAAGAAAAAGCTTGGTTTCTGTGTAGATGCTCATCTCATCAAAAGTGAGTCATCAGAGATCAGTGCGGGGGAGTCTGCACCTTTTGTTGCCACCACTACGTCATGATGACATGTCCTGAGTCGTAGGGTCAGGTCAGGCCTCAATTAACCCATTAGCTTACCACAGACGAAGTGTCTTCATTTATCCACTTTGTCACAAATTACAATTTAAATAAGCGTATTATTTTTTATTATCTAAATAAAGTGCATTTAGACAGATCAGTACTATTTGTAAAATTTGTGAAAGATTTTTACAAAGTTCTTTTGCTTTCATGATTAATTACTTTGAAGTAATTTCAATGGTGCAAAATGAATCATTCAAAATGATGTGATGAGAGCGTTGATCCATAAGAAGATATATTTGTGGTTTTAAGAACCAAAACCATCTCAGTGTAGTTTTACATCTCCTCTCTCAGGCTTCTCTCTGGAGCTCTAGTAACAACAGCTTGGTGAACCAGTCAGAAGAGAGGAGGCTCTGAGCTCTGAGTTTTCTGAGTGATCCAATAAAAAATATAGCAGATTTCAGGTAAACACTCATGGAAACCAAATCCTGCAAGGGTGGACAGTGGGCAGGGCTTGAACACACAGAAATCTGCCTTTATACAATATGGGACCTTTAACATTTTCTGAAATTCTAGTTTTGGTGAAAGAAATCACACCTCACAGACATAGGCAACTTCTTATAAAGAGGCAAGAAGACACTTTTATTTCAAGGGTTCACGAGTCAAAAAAAGGTTTCAAACCACACTCGTGATAAACTGTAGTAAGTTTGCGGAGTCCCAGTGGAATATGGATGACTTGTTCTCACATCTGTCCCTCTCTACATGTCTCTCTCTCCACCTGTGTGTTTAGGCGGTGACATTGCCCATAACCATGACAGATGGGAAATGGCATCACGTGTGTGTGACGTGGTCGACACGTGATGGCGTCTGGGAGGCCTACCAGGATGGGGTGAAGAAAGGCTCGGGGCAAAACCTGTCACCCTGGCACTCCATCAAACCAGGGGGGATTTTCATCCTGGGGCAGGAGCAGGTAGGAAAAACAATATCTGATTGTGAAGGGCAAAATACTGAATATGTGCTGTATCAGACAGACTTTGCTCTCTGGACTTTTACCTCCCACATTTTAAATCTCAGCAAAAACTCTTCTTTGCTGTCCACAGGACACAATGGGTGGCCGCTTCGACGTCACTCAGTCTTTCATGGGGGAGCTGTCAGATCTTCAGTTCTGGTCCAGAGTCCTGACACCAAACGAGATCTACAGCCAGGCGACCTGCGCAGGCCACCTCATCGGTGACATCATGTCCTGGTCGGAGGAATCGGTGGAGCTCCACGGCGGGCTCACCAAGTTCCCCTTTGAGCCCTGCCACTAAGGACTGACGCTGGACCCTCACACACAAATCTGTAGCATCATCTGTGTCAGAAATGGCAAATAGGATTTCGTTGTGGATCAAAGATGAGGGAATAATTTATTTCACTGCTTGCAGAACTTTAATAACTCAAGGTCAGCCATGGGCAACAGGCAGAGCGAGGAGTCATTTTGCTGTTTCTATATATATATATATATATATATATACTGTATATATATTCTTTTTTTGCCATTCCTGTCCAATCTTTCTGCCTTCTCAACCCACACCCTCACTTCCTCGCTCTCACACTCTCAGCAGGATGACTTTGAAGGCTCCAAAGAGCGCAGGGCTTTGGATTTACCGGCTGTGTGGTCATGGCTGCGGCTGCTCTGAGGGATTCCGAAACACATAATAGGATTTCCTTCCATCAGAACAGGTCCAAAGGTTGCTGGTTGCCATTAGCTCGCCTGCTCTAGCTTCTTTTCTTCGGTATTTGAGCAACATAAACATTGCAGGAGGGGAAAGGGTGGCTGAAAGGCACGATCACAGTGCAAGCCACCTGAGTCGTGATGATTCATACATGTTGCTGAAGTACTGCCAATCAAATATCTGCTCGTTATTTTGCGGAGACAAAGGAATAATGCTGTTGCAGGACTTTTTTACAATGCAGGTTGAATTTGGCGCAGGGTTAGCACAACCGAATGATGTTGATTTTGCACACTAAGTTTTTGGCAGACTGTTTTATATTAGTATTTCATATTGAAAACTCTCGAACACGCTTTTTTGTAGAAAGGAAACTCAATTTGCATTTGTGGCGTTCAGAAAAAAATATATAATCCATGTGTTCTATGTTCTTCACACCTGTAAAATTGCATTTTGTCAGTGCAGGACTATGACTTTCCGTGTCTCTGTCTGTTCAAAAGTGAAATAGAAGAGCACTATGGCTCGATGTCAAACATGACACATCATGACCACGAGCCACCACCTGACTGCATCAGTGCAGGTTCGCTGTCCCTCAACGTGTCATCACGGTAATACCGATGTCTCCTCGGCAACCGGTGGCTTAAAGCAGGATTTACCTGTGGACAACTGATCTGATCCTGCCTATTTCCGACCAGCTCAAACCACATGGCAGAGACAGACACACAAACACACACACACACACACACACACACACACACACACACACACACACACACACACACACACACACACAGATACACACTCGCACATGCTCAGAGAAGATGAAGAGGTGAAAAGAGACATTGTTGATCTCATGCTGTTTGTAGCCGCACTTTCACATTTTTATAACAAAAGAGGTTTTTGTACATGTAAATGATATCAGTTAGACTGTTTTTAATTAATTAAAGGGTTTATTATGGTATTTCTCACAATGTAAATAAAAGTACATAGCACTTTCTCAACCCTCACTTTACCCTGTGTTTGTTTGTAAAGCACATCTTTGGAAGTAACTGTTTATTACTTATCAGTTATAAAACTCCATCCTGTTTTGAACTCATCACTTTTGTCAGTAAAAAAAAAAAAAGAGGCATCTGTTGTTGCCATGGTGACAGACAATCATCAGAACCACATCATCCCGACTGTGTCGCGCTACAACTGTAAATATCTGCAAAACGTTTCTTCGACTGTAATGCCAAGACAAGCAGCACTTTGAAAACACGCTGTTGTTTCTTCATGATAGTGGGCCAAATGCATGTGACATTTATATCTTTGTTACTTAGACGTGGGTTCATCCAACTCCTTCTACTCCCTTACTGTGTAGTCTGAATGTTGACATAAGACACGTAAAAATAAGATTATACAACTGTATGCATAAAGACTTGCTTATCCTCGCCTTTGGTGTACATTTGAATGTTTATTAGCTCTTCTGTTATGTTTATTCTTGTCTTTTTTTTTTTTGGCTGTAAATATACAAAGTATTACAGTGTGTTCAGTCAACTTTCCCTCCCTTGTGTGTAAGCCAAAACTATAAACTGAATTATGAAACTTGAAAGAGGAAGAAAAATGCACTATAAACGCTGTCAAATATTTGTAAATAGGCCTGTGTCAGGATTTTGAATAAAACTATTCAAAATATTTTATGAATTCAAACAGGACTGCAAACTCTTTTTTTGCACTGTACAATATATGCACATATATTGTTTTGTGACTGATATGATGCATTTTAACATTAATGCATTGTCCTCTCTGACAGGTAATGCGACAGAATAAGGATTCATCGCCTCACACTGTTTTGAAAGATAAAACAGTCATGTAAAATTGAGCTCACAATCAAATGCTGTCTTTTGCATTATGTGATCTTCTCCAACTCTTGGCCCACTTGAAAATCTCAAAAATGTTGGTATCTGACCCCATAACAATACAGAAGCGAAATAATGATTGGACTCAGGACTGAACTGGAAGCAGGGGAAGCTCAATTTTTTTTTCTGTATGGCGGGGAGAGATCACTTCACACAATTCAGCATCTGTTTCTTGACTCTTTCCTTTTAATTCTTCTTGTTGCTAACCAACTATATCCATTTTGATACTCCTTTGTTGGCATGGATGTAATCCTTTAGCACGCAATCAGACCGAGATAGCAAATAAGTATAGAAGTTCCTATCATTGCCTTATCACAGTGACAGGCCTGAATACAAGAGAAAATAAAAACAACGAAAGGAGTTTTAAAACATTTTTTTAATGTTTGTAAAGATCATTTCATTTTAAAACATTATTTATTTTTTTCTAATAACATCTCAACACAAGCCCACAGGTTGGGCACCGCTGAAATATGTACAATATACTAGAAGTCTCAAAAGTAAAAGTATGCATTACACAAATGGCCCATTTCAGAATAATGTATCTTGGATCATTGGTTTATACCATTGTATTGGTATTTTTGTTTCACTTTAATGTTGCCGGTGACGGTTGGACTGATTTGAATTACTTTATATGCTGCAGGGTAGCTTGTGAAGCTTGTGAATTTTCACCATGAGGATCAATAGTCTTACCTACTGTTATGATGATACATCATAATTCATTTATCTATTATAAATCTGAATCTGGAAATAGATACAGTGAAGTAAAAAGTACAATATTTGCGTATGACTGCAGAGTTTCCATATTCACATATAATTTTACTTTAAACACTAACCAGAGCTACACTTCTTTTACACCTAGATCTTATTCATTAAAACAACATGAGGACTTGTAGAAACAGCTTAAACAGAGCTACTATGTATTGAATTACTGAAACCAAACCTTCATGCCTGTTGATTCTCTGTTGGATGAAACCATGGGGGTGAACAAAGGATCAGCTCTGATGGAAGAAGAAAAACATGCTTTTCACTTTGCACAGAGATCAAGTGCATTAAGTGGATTTTTGGAGCACGAGCAATTTTCCTGTTTTTAGGCCATTTCACATGAAAATCAATTATTTTCATGGGCAATGTCAAGTGGGTTTAAGAAGACTATATTGTTGAGTTTTACTCATTATATTAGTTAATTATTTACTCATTTGTCATCATATTAATGAGGTGCTTTTTGCTCTTGGAGTGCCCATTAGTCTAAAGGTTTTGATTAAAAAATAAAATAATAAAAGACATAATTTAATATTGTAATAATAGACAAGTGCCACTTACCCTACAATTAATGTGAATTTTATTTGTTATTTTGTACAGAGCAATTTGACACTTGAAATCCTGGGTGTGTATAATAATTTGAGGGATGTTTTCAAAAGCTTAAATTTGATAACGTCATGGTCTCTGCCTTAAAAGCTGTAATCATGTCAAACATGAAGACATCCCTCATCTTATTTTAGAATGAATCTTTTCAGAGGATTAACTCTCCATGTTTCTTCTAAATGGTCTCATCACTTTATTTTTTACCTCTGTCAGTCTGCTTTGTTTTCTCCCTGACACATCCTTTATTATCCCGTAACCATGGAAACAGGTGAAGGGACATTCGTGTGACATGTGTGTATGTTTTCTGTCTTTTTGGTGTGTGTGTGTGTGTGTGTGTGTGTGTGTGTTTGTGTGTGTGTGTGTGTGTGTAAAATTACAACTGGATATATTCTGAAAAGTAGTTTGAGTTTGGTATTTTGTGTAACAGCCAACTCAGTCTGGAGATTAAACACAAATATCTGCAAAAGTCATTTGACCCAGAAGCTCCAATGTGCTCAGTGATTTGAAAAAGTACACAGACCACAATCAGCTCATGTGTAACTGTGTTAACTGTTCATTTTGGATTCAGATAAAAAGAAATTCTCTGTGCTTTTGTGTCTGTAACTGAAACTATAACTGCTCACTGCAGTGAGTATGATAAACCTTTCAATCAGCCTTCAAATATAGTTTAAAGTGAAATAATGATGTCATTTGCACCAGCATACTTAAATCACACAATATTATTTATTACAGTTGGTATTATCAATCATTCATAATTTATAGTAGTTTAATTTAATCATGCACAATTAACCTTTTCAAAAGAAAACTTTTTTGATAAAAATTTCAGTGTTGTTTTATTGTGAGTTTTTACACTTCTGAATAAAACAAGCGACTTCATGATTTAATAATTCAGGCATGAAAGGGCAAGAAACAGTCATATTGGGATGCTTTCACAGCTGCAAAATTTCAAATCGCTGCTGAAAATTGATGCAGGCTTTGGCATTTCTGTTATGTAAAGGTCATCTGGAGCTTGAGGCAGATTAAAATAAACTGAGAGGATAAATTATTTCCACCATGTCTTCTTGTCTCTCTTTCACCACTCAGAGCGGGAGTTCAGACCATGTCCGGCAGGCTGGATGCATCAGGGACAAAAATGTTTCTTATTCAATCAGGACAAAGCTGACTGGAACAGCAGCCAGTACTGCTGCATGGCACTGGGGGGCGCTGTGGCCACAGCCAGGACAGAGGATGAGCATGTGAACACAAACACACTGTGACTCTAGTTTTATTTATTCATTGAACACATTTTCTTTACCCCTCCTGTCGTGTTCACCTCCCGCCCCTTTTACTTTAGTGTTCCTGGTCAAAATTGATTGGTCTGTTTTAACTGCTCTTAAATTAGCACAAAAACTA